ACTCTGTAGACTGGGCTGGCCTTGAACTCACAGAGATCCACCTGCCTCTACCTCGGGAGTGCTGGGATTAAAGGTGTGCGCAGCCACCACTCAACTGTTTATTTTTGAGATGGAGTCTCACTGTGTAGCACATAGGCCTTGAATGTATAATCCTCCAGCATCAGCCTCCCCAAGGCTGGGACTACAGGCATGTGTTACCACACCCAGTGCTGTGTCATTGTAAAGAGGTAAATGTGGCTTTCCTGAAATGTCTTACCGGCTAGGCCCATGTTCTTTAGCTGTGAGGAAAATCAGGATGTGTGACTGTTAACTTAGCCACTCAAGCAAACTGAAAATTCTCATATCATGGAGGGAAAGATAGATGGCCCAGTGATGGGGAAATGGCTTAGCACAGAGTGCTTGTCCCCCAAGTGTCAAGATCCCTATCACCTGTAAATGCCAGAATACCCTGTCTGTAATCTCAACACAGGGGTGCAAACTGGCATGCTAGATTTGTAAAAGTCAGTGAGCCCTAGGTTCAGCAGGAGACCCTGCCTTGATATAGAAGATGGAGAGTGACGGAAGAAGATACCCACCCCTGGTCTACATGCAAGAGCATAAACATGTACATGCACCTACACACAAAAAAAATAAAAACAAGTGTATGCAATGCAATCATAGCATTGTGCTCATCCATCCTTCCATCATTTACCTACCCACCCACCACGGGCCACTGGGAGGATGGGCATTTTTCTTCCTGTGTGTTCTGTCATCATATTTTTATTTTCTTTTTTTAAGCAAAGAACGTATTTCAGTAATGAAAGATATCTATAATTATGTTTTTTTTTAAAAAAAAAAATGGAAGCTTATTCTGTGGTCAACTATATGGCTTTTTTTTTATGCCCCCGAACTTCTTTATGTGCCTTAAAACTCAACATCTAAGCCACCTTTAGTTTCCATGGGGTCTCATAGGAGTGTGGCTGCATTTAAATTGCCTCTTTCCTCATCCCCTGGGAACACCACTAGACTAGCCATAATCCTCCCAAAGTCCTCGGGAACTTTGACTGACAGTCCTAAGTAAAAAGAAGTAATCCTGATGAGAGGATTCAAGTATTTAATGGGACCTATGGGTGAGATGGTTCTCAGGGCCATCAGAAATCAGACTTCCTCTCGCTTTTGCATTCTCTTTATAAAAAAAAAAAATGCCAGTCACATGAGCACAGAAACTTTGTGTCATTTTTCCTCTACTATCTACCTAGTGCCAGGGATGCGGACAGGAGATGAGTCTCAGCCGGCAGCGTGCAGAGACTCGTGTGTTTGAATGCTTAGCCTATAGGGAGTGCACTATAGACGCGGTCTTGTTGGAGTAGGTGAGGCCTTGTTGGAGGACGTGTCACTATGGGGGCAGACTTTGAGGTCTCATGTGCTCAAGACATGCCCAATGTGGGACACAGGTCCCTTCTGCTGCCTTCAGATCCAGATGCAGCGCTCTCAGCTCCTTCTCCAGCATTACAGCAATAGTAACCCTAACTAGACAGTCTTATGAAGCCTGGCTGGTCTGGTGCTCAGACAAAATACCCATGCAAAAAAGAGAGAGGCCATCTTGGCCAGTGTGTTGGTTTAGGTTGTGGCACACACTTTTTGTGGAAAGGAAGTGCCCTACTAGGTCATTTCCGCTTTATTAATATGTTTTTTTTTTTTGTGACACTGAGAATATTTTTTTCTAACACCCTACAGGGAGCCCTGGCAAGCTGGGCGTGTGCTGAAATGGGTGTGTATTGTCAAATAAGTTTCAAGGTGGGTACTGCAGGGTACCTTGGTGGGAAGACCCTGGTGGAGATTCAGGAGGTGGTGCTCAGGGTCTGACAGCCTAGGGAAATGGAAGCTGAGGCACTCAGCAGAGAGGGGAGGCACAGAAGGCAGGGCATGCAAGAAGCTCCTCCCAGACCTGCACCTAGCTGGAGCAGGCCCAGGGGCGAGTTCTGCTACATGGACTCTGAGCTATCCTCAGCTAGAAGGGCCTTTGGGCATTGGGCCAGAGTCTCTGAGTTTCCCAGAGCCCTAAGTGCTAGAATCTGAGGTCATCCTGGTCCCAGGAATCCTGGATTTGGAGACAGGTGACCTTAGGCAAGGGTCATCTTGCATAAGCATGTGGGACACCTAAGGACCTGTCTGACTGGGACCATCCTGAAGGACGAGATGATGGAAGGAGGTGTGCGAGGAGCTCCAGGGACACCATCAAACCCAGGTCTCCCTGTCCCACCTCCCCCTATGGGGCCTGCAGACTGTACAGAGGGCAGAGGATGACTGGAGACTCGAAGCCACACAACCCCTCCTCAGCCCTCCCATCACACCCTGCCCTCCCCCACCACTGCTCATAGAGCAGCTGCCAGTCCTGAGAGGCTGTTTAAATTCGGGTGTGTAAAAGTCAAATAAAACTGAAAACACCTCTTCTGTGGCACAACCATACTGCCGGTGCCTCAGGAGCCTCCTGTGGTCAGAGGCTGCCAATATGGACAGTGCAGATAGAAGCAATGTCCCACATTCCAGAGAGTTCTACTGGGTGCCATGTTTTTCTTTTCTTTTTGAGACAGAGTTTCCTACAGTACAGAATGACCTTGAACCATGTACCTGGAGGCTGCCCTTGAACTCCTGATCCTCTGGTCTCCGCAGGTGGATGCCATTGCATCTAGCTTGGTGCTGAAGTTCTAAAGCAGAATTTGCATTTGCCCTCACTGGGCTGAGGGTTCTGCCTATCACCCCTCTGAATCCTTTGGGTTACTGAGAGACAGCTGTGGTTATCACTCCTCCAGCTAGTAAGGGACAGATAGGCTGTGAAGAGTGAGTTTAACTCTGTGGTGGCTAAACTTGGCTGTCAACTTGACCTAACCTGAGATCAATGAGGAGGCGTGTCTCTCTGGGAGGACGAGCTAAGGAGGGAAGGCCCTCCCCAGAGTGGGAAGCGCCTTCTTTGCCTGCCTGCCTTCATTTCTTGCTTATACATGCATCTGCTCTGTGGCTGCCACTCCTACCATGCTCTATTGTATCAGAACCTAGTTTTTTCAACCTTTCGGTGTGGCCCGAAGACCAGTGGCTCTCTAGGAACCCTCCCTGCCCCGGCACTAGATGATACATCTGGATTATCTAGCTCTGTGGTCTAAATAAGCAGATATGAGGTTCTCAAAGTCTCCAGCATGCAGACAGACAGCCATTGTTGGCCTAGTCGGTGTCGTGTAAACCAATCATTAAGTGCCTTTTATAATATATATCCATGCTATTTGTTCCATTCCTCATGAGCAGTGCACCCACCCACTTAACCCACAGTGGGAGGTGTAAGGATTCAGGCGCTATGCTGGCCTGCCCCTGTCACCAGGCAGAATGCGCTCAGGCAGTACCCTGGTCAGCCCAGGCACAAAGGACCCCTTTAAAAGAAAGACCTCCGCCCATTTATGGTCTCTTTCCGTTCTTCTCTTTCCACTCTCCCGTTCTCCCCCTGGGACAGACAGGACTTTTCCTCTTCAGCCTCCCTCTTCTCTTCTGCCCTCTCTCCGTGTGTCTCTTTACCTCGTTTTTCTTTCCTCCCTCCCCCCTTTCCCTTTCGAATAAAACGTTTCACTAAGCTCTGTCTGCCTGGCATCGGTCATCCTCGCCTGCCATGGAATCCGCCACGAGCTTTATTCCTAACAGGATGCTGCTGCTGCTTTAGGTGGGCTTTATCTACATCTGACTTTAGAGGAAGGCCTAGCATCTAGCATTCCACCGCACCCCCCATGGGCCTCTGCCCTGTGTTCTCAGACTCCCTAAGGAGGCTACCTGAGGTTGTGTCTAGCATTTTTATTGGCGGGGTTTTGGGGGGTGGAGGGTAGGGTGGATGTCTGCTGAAGGTCATGGGCAGAGGATTCTAGTGTCTCCAGGGCTTGCTCCTGGCTTTGCACGTATCAGGTCACTTTCCTGGGCAGAGGATTAATGATCCCGCTCTCTATGTACTCGAAGACTGTGTATGGGTCCTGGTCTGCGTTGACAGTGATAGCCCGCTGGTAGTACTGCTCCAGATCCCCAGAGTTCCTGTAGAACAGGTCCGTTCGAAGCCTGATATACTCCTCTGAGTCCTTGGGGTTCTGCAGGAGACGGGCCTGGACCTCAATAGTGGGAGGAGGCTTGTACATAAGATGGAACCTATGAAGGAGGCAGATGACAAGGGAGTCCTCAGTCCTCTTGTTGACCATTCTAGAGTGCCCTTGCCCTGTAACCGTTACCACCAGCCACAAATGCCAGCCATGCACTAGCTGGGTACACCCTGGACTTCTGGGATATGAAGTTGTGGTCCCAGAGTAAAGGTCAGCCAGGGTTTAGAATGTAAAGTAAGAGCCAGTTTTCCCTTTGATCTCAGAACTCAGGAGGCCCAGGCAGGCAGATTTCTGCAAGTTCCAGGCCAGCCAGAGCTCTGTAGTAAGACCCCACCTGAAAACAAAACAAACAACAAAGCCCAGGTTCTCCCCTCCCCCACAAGTGTGCAGGTGCTGGAGGTCAGAAGACTCCCTGGAACTAGAACTCCGGGTGGTTGTCAGCTACCTTTTGTGGGTGCTGGGACCCAAGCTGAAGTCCTCTGAAAGATGAGCAGCAAGTGCTCATCTTTGCAGCCCCTGGCTTTTGGTTGTTTTTTGTTGTTGTGTTTTTGTTGTTATTTTTTGGTGTCTTTGTGTTTTTGTTTGTTTGTTTGTTTGTTTGTTTGTTGAGACAGAGTTTATTCATCAGGATTCGCTAGAGGAACAGAACTGATAGAATGAATATATATGTGAAATTTATTAGAATGGCTTACAGGCCGTGGTCCAGCTAGTTCAACAATGGCTGTCTACCAACAGAAGATCCAAGAATCCAGTAGTTGTTCAGTCCCCAAGAATGACTGTCTCAGCTGGTGTTCAGTATATATCAGAATCCAGAAGAAGTAGACTCTCATGCCAGTGAAGAAATGGACTTGCCAGAGAGAGCAATAGCAAGCAGGCAGAGAGAGAGTGAGAGAGAGAGCTTCCTTCTTCCATGTCTTTATTTAGGCTGCCAGAAGAAGACATGGCCCAGATGAAAGGTGGATCTTGTCATCTCTAAAGAGCTGGATTAGAAGTGAGTCTTCTGCTGGGCAGTGGTGGCGCACGCCTTTATTCCCAGCACTGGGGAGGCAGAGACAGGTGGATCTCTGTGAGTTTGAGGCGAGCCTGGTCTACAAAGAGATTTTCAGGACAGCCTGGGCTGTTACACAGAAAAATGCTGTCTTGAAAAACAAAAAACCAGCCGGGTGTTGGTGGCGCACGCCTTTATTCCCAGCACTTGGGAGGCAGAGGCAGGCAGATCTCTGTGAGTTCGAGACCAGTCTGGTCTACAAGAGCTAGTTCCAGGACAGCCTCCAAAGCCACAGAGAAACCCTGTCTCGAAAAAAACAACAAAAAAAAGAAAAACAAAAAGAAAAACAAAAAACCCAAAAACTAAAAAGCAAGAGAGAAAGAAAACAAAATCCATCATAGGCATACCCAGACTCTTGGTTAATTCCAGATGTAGTCAAGTTGACAACCAAAGATGGCATCACACAGGATTTCCTCTATGTAGCACTGGATGTCCTGAAACTCCTTAGTAGACCAGGTTAGCCTCAAAGTCAGAGATTCACCTGCCTCTACATCCCAAGTGCTGAGATTAAAGGCACATACCACCACAAAGGGTTTATTTATTTTTATTTGTGTGTGCGTGTGTGTGTGTGTGTGTGTGTGTGTTTGTGTGTGTGTTTCTTTGTGTGTGTGTCTACGTGTGTTTTGGGGATTAAACCCAGGTCCTCCTGCTTGCAATGCAAGTACTTTACCATCCGAGAATTCCCCAGCTTCATCTGGTCTTTTTTCATCCTTCTAAACACTGTTTATTAAGTACTAACAGCCTGCCTGTCTGGAGCAGCCATTTTTGAAGCCGGAGTCGGCTGGGGACTAGGAATACAGTGGCCAGATACTTAACCAGGATGTTGCTGCTGGGCCTGGCACATTCCTTCCCTCGCTCTTGCAGACAGGGAGCCAAAAGACACACCCAGAATGCACTACACAAGCCTGTTTCTAGCCTCTGTCTGGAGTGGCCAGTGCTATCCCGAAGCAGGTCCACAATAGCACTGAGTACCTTAGTAGAGAAGTGGCTTTGCAGGGGGCCTAGCCACCAACAGCCCTCCATAACCAGCCACCAGTAACCCTGACCAACCTTTCTCCTGTGACAGGGTCAGTCCTTCTCAGTGTCAGTCGCTCTAGGATGGAATCCAATGGCACATTAAGGAAGAACACCCTGCAGAGAGAGACCACGATAGCCATGTTTGTTACTGTCTGGACCTGGCAAAGATTTGATGGCCTGCGCCTGCTAATCCTGGGGAGACTACTCCCTCTCCCTGGCTGACACTAGAGATATCAAAAGCTGACCTGGCAGCATGACTTTTGGGTACATAGCAAACCCACCCAGAGCCCAGAGCCTCACCCTCCTTCTCCAGGCCAATAACACTCCAATGACAGATACTAGGGTGACTAAACCCTGCCTAGTAGCCCAGAACCCTCAAGAATCATCCATTGGCCACTATGGAGTCTACACTGCCTTGTATATTCCTCCCCTTCCCCCTGCTGTGTCCTCCCCTTGGTGTCTCCCTGTGTGGTCTTGTGGGGCATTGGCCTCTCTGTTGTCACTCATTTACCTCTATAAACTAAATCTTGCTACAGTTAAGACAAGAACAGTCACCCTGGTCACCAGAGGGAACCCCAGGCCAGACTTTTGTCACCCTAGGGCCAAGGTTGGCATTATTCTCTTCCAAGTGTGCATGTATGTGTTTCAGGGATCAGAAGGTCTGCCCCAGCTCCCTGAGGCAGCCAAGTACAGCTATTTAGACCCTGCCTGGGCTGTCCTTGCTCCCTTCCTCTTGGCTGGAAGATCCCTTTTCCCTCTAACTCTCTCATGCCTGTGGCTTGGCTGTGACCTGGCTTGTAAAGAGCCTAGGCTGAGCTCAGGGCTCCCCCTGGCTACAGAGGCTCTGGCAGGATGCAGACCCAAGCCAAGCCAGGCACGTGCAAGGCAACTCCAGCCCTTTCTATGGGAGCTTCATATATGACTTCACAGTAGGAGAAATGGAAGCCCTGACTTACAGAGAGGGCCTCCCGAAGAAGGCAGCTTGCCCAGAGCCTTCAGGGAGGTGGGCAGAGATGGTAGGACTAGGCATTGTCTGAGGCTGATACCTCATTGTTTGACTGACACAAATAAGTAAATCTCTTCTTTTGTTTAGGTTGGCTTCCTCTGGGTTCCTTCTCATAGTTACTCTTTTTAAAAAACAAAACAAAACAAACCTTTTATTTATTCATTTTTTAGGAGGTAGTGGAGGGCATGTACTACAATGTGTATGTAGAGGTCAAAGAACAACTGTGGGGTTCCCTGCACACTCTGTGGGAGAGGCAAGAAATGAAACTCGGTTCAGCTTGACTTAGTTAGCCTCCACTGGTTCAAAGTTCTGGAGTCTGACTCCAGATGGTTTATTTTAGCCATATTTAAGCATAGTACAATTTTGGGGGAAAGTTTCCTGATGACAGTTAACTCATTCCCAAAGCTTAAGACATGTCTACATTGAAACACTTTGGGGGTGGAGGGTTGTTTTGTTTTTTGTGTGTAGCCCTGGCTGTCCTGGAACTCTCTTTGTAGACCAGGCTGGCCCTGAACTCACAGAGATCCACCTGCCTCTGCCTCCCAAGTGCTGGGATTAAATGTCACCACTGCATAGCTACATTGGAACTCTTTACAAAGTACCTATGGTTTCTTCAATAAAGATGGGTTCTGTTGACTCAGAAACAGTGCTCAAGATAAGGGTCTAGGAGAATGACTGAGGTAAACACAATGCCTGTAGGAGTCAGGATTGGCCTGGCCCTAAGATAACATAGAAGTCTCTGAGGCTGTTGTAAAGTACACCTGACATCTCTCATAAGGATGGTTTTGTGGACTGAGAAGCAATGCTCCAGATTTAGAGGGAGGAAAGTTGGGAATAAACAAACATAGTAGTCTGGGGAATTCAGGTGAAGTCTGGCCCTACAGATAACAAAGACCACCAGGTTGTGAACTATGGCCTTTCCCAGCATTCCAGGTGGAAAACAGGTAAACATCTCCTTCCTCTGAAGAGACAAGCCTGTGTGTTTAACTTTCCTGGTTTCCTTATTGCTTATGTGCGCACAAGGACCTCATACCCTCTACAGACAACTTGCAGGAGTCGGTTTTCTCCTTCCACCTGTGGGTCCCAGGGATTGAACTCAGGTCATCAAGTTTGGCAAGTGCTTTCACCCACTGAGGTATCTCACCAGCCTTAGTTACCTTTATTGCTCTGATGTAATACATGATAAGAAGCAATCTGGGAGAGGAAGCATTTATTCTGGCTCACATTTCAAGGATACAGGCCTCATAGTGGAGAAGGCATGGTGGCAGGAGAATGAAGCAGCTGCTCACTCAACGTTGTGTCTGCCATCAGGATGTGGAGAGCAAATGGGAAGCTGGGACAGGTCATTAAAACTGAAGGCCTGCTCCCAACCCACAGTGATGGGCTTCTACCAGATAGGCTCCACCTCCTAAAGGTTCCAGAACCTTCCCAAAAAGCACCAGATGTTTACACACATGAGCCAATTATGGAACTCTTCACATTCAAAACACATGGCACCTGGCACACTTGGTATCATACTAGAACATGTATGAACTCAAGAAAAAAAAAAAAAAAAAAAGCTAATGGGAAAGCAGAGAGATATGTTCTTTCTCAGCCCAGCCACTCCCATGGAGACTTATTAGTTATGAATACTGGGCCTTATCTTATGCTTCTTTCTTGTTAGATGATGAGAAACTTAACATGGTTTCATCTATGTTTTGCTTCAGAGCCTTTTACCTTTCTTTCTTTCTGTATATCTTACTTTCCTGCTGTCTCCAGGTCTGGCTGGGGGCTGCCTGGCTTCTGGCCTGGGTGTGCCCCTCTCTTTCTCCCTTGTTCTCTCCTTCTCTCTAGCTTAGATTTCCCCCTCCCTCACTTATTTTCTCTGCCCACCAGCCCCTCCTATCCCTCTTCTGCCTAGCTATTGGATGTTCAGCTTTTTATTAGACTAATCAGGTGCCTTAGGCAGGCAAGGTGAAACAGCAACGCATCTTTACATAATATACATCCTTACATTGTTAAACAAATGCAGCATAAACAAATGTAACACATCTTTACTTAGTTAAAGTAACTTACATAACATACAGTGTGCATAGCACTGCTTAAATTAATACATTAATACATTAAAAGAGTAATTCATTATTACAACTAAGTGAGCTTTAATTGGGGAATGAAAGCCTAGTTTTTTTAAATCAATTTTAAATTTAAAGTGAAATTCAATATATTTTTAAACTAAGTAGACAGGATCTCACTATGTAGCCTAGGTGGCTGTCAACTGCTATACAGCCCAGGAGTCTCAATCCTCCTGCCTCAGGGTTCTGAGGGTTACAATTACAGGTGCATGCCACAACAAAACAACCAACACTATGTAAAACGTGGAAGACTGAATATTTTTCCCTGACACTGGTAACAGGGCAAGGATGTCTGATCTCACTGTCCCTCTTCAACTGATTCTTATAATTGGTCCTCTGACCACCACATGTACACGCACACACACAAACACACACACACATACACATATACACACACTAAATGTAATTAAAAAAAACCCTCTGTGCATCAAAATACATTTAGTAACAGGGCAAGGATGTCTGATCTCACTGTCCCTCTTCAACTGATTCTTGTAATTGGTCCTCTGACCACCACATGTACACGCACGCACACAAACACACACACACATACACATATACACACACTAAATGTAATTTAAAAAAAACCCTCTGTGCATCAAAATACATTTAAAAAATCCATAATGGGAAAATTATTTGCAAAACACATATCTGATCAAGCATTTGTATCCAAAATTCAGGAAGTATGAACTACATGCTCAGTTGGTAACACCTGTGTGCAGGTGCCCTAACTGCTCTGGTATCTCCGGAACTGACATCCAAAGGGGAAAGTGTGTCCTCTGAAGATAGTTTCTTGAAAAGGGTTCAAGTTGCCTCCTCCTTCCAGTATATCAAAAACCCATTCTCTGCCATGGGAAGACCTCCTTTCAGGTTGGAAGGCACCAGGGCTCTTTCTGTTCAGACCATCTGTGGCTGTCTCTGGCTGTGGTATAACTCAAGGTGTTTCCTCTCAGGAAGAATTACACAGTGACCACCATTGAGGAGGACCAGGAAAGAGGAGAACTGCCAGTGAAAACACAAACAGTACCACAGACGAGTGTGATGGAGTGATGGAGGCTGAGTGATGGACAAAGCACATTGCCTGATTGGAAGCATCATCCAGGACATGGAAGGAGAAAACACCAAGGTAGTCCTCCTTCAATGGCAAATTTTACAATGTTCCAAGAGCACAAAGCAGAAGTAGCCAGTTCTTCAATTTCTTCTTTTAGATTTAATTAATTTTATTTTATGTGTATGAGTGATTTGCCTACATGTATAACTGTGTACCACATATGTACCTGGTGCCCACAGAGGTCATAAGAGGGCATTAGATCCCTGGGAACTGAATTATGGATGGTTGTGAGCCGACATGTGGGTTCTGGGAATAAAACTCAGGTCCTTTGCAAAAGTAACAAGTACTTTTAGCTGCTGAGCATATGGAAGCCATAAAACATCCTTAAGGGTGCACTGTGGGGGGGGGGGG